GAAACGTTTGGGAATGTACCACGTCCACGGTCCTACTCTGGAAATGATGATACATATAATGGACTCCGGAATAGGTGCGTTCCTCTAAGTCTTCCTACCAATATGACCAAGTTGCGAAAACAAAGTCAAACAACTTCTATTTGATATTTTCTTTTCACTTTTCCATTTACCTTGTTTATATTGTTCCTATTTGTGGGTTCTTGGTACGCCAAGCTTGTTTAGATTATTTCCATTTCCTTCTCTCTTTTTGCTTCTTCCGGTATCTTCTCAGAAGTATTTATTACAACTAAAGTTTTCTTGATTACCTTCATTTCATTCCGAAGTGCAAAATTTAGTGCATTCTTGATGATCGCCTTAGTATCGAGGCCAAGAGGGATAGAAGACCAATTCACAACTTTATCTTGATCTCATTTCTGGTCTGTGGTTTTACCGATTGGTTTATTTATTCGGCTTCGGGTATCTTTTTTATATTAAATCTGAGATCATTTTCGACTGTTTGTCTTTCATCTTCGGTAGTTTGAGAAAATTCTCCGGAGTAAGAATCCGACTCAATTGATGCCTGAAGCTAGACCTAATATCTAAAAATCATTTTATCCTTTCTCTACCATGTGTCTCTTCGAATTTATTCAGAAAAGCTTCATATAATATAATATTGACACTATCACTCTGACCAAGTTGTGAAGGCGAGTTTAAACCACTTTAATGTATGTTTTTTTTACTAAATACCTTAACTATTTCCATCTCGTAACTTGAAATTAACGGGATTGACTTTATATTTTTCTCGCCTTGCAATTAACAACATATACCTCTTTGATGCAAAAATATATTACTTTTTATTAGACCAATCCAATCACCGAAATCTTTCATTGAAATTAAACAACAATGGTTTTGTAGTGAGTTACAGCTTGACTTATTTACCAAATCCCATGTTAAACAATTTGACAAGGATAAAATAGGCTTCTAAACCGAGATATTATAATTTTTTAAACTTTTGACGGCTGTAACCCTGCTATTATCTGTACACTTGCAGACTCCTTCTGACTTCCCGAAGCATTCTACCATCCACCACCTAACCCAAGACCCTCTAAGTATGCTGATCAGCCCTGAGTCAGATGAAGAAACGGTGGAAAAGTATATAGCCTCAGGAAAGACCAGTATTGGTGGTTCCATCCCTGCAATTTGTTCCTCTTCTTCGGCATCTGATGTTACTGCCATTATCAACGAGGAGCATAAGCCTCATCTTCTTCCCTCGACCTCAAATAAACCTATGCAGACGTATGGACTTGTTTCTACTGACTACGCCAGCTCGGAAGAAGAAATAGCTCAATTTACTCCAGAAGCCCTTTCCAGCTCGGGTGACATCAATGCTGACTCACTTGAGCACATCTCTTCAGTAGGTCAAGTAAATAGCAACTTTACACATGTTTGTTTATTTTATATTAGCTTAAAAAGGCTATATCGGCATACGGCAGTTGATTAATATTCTGCTTCTTATTTTCCATTTGTGCTGACTATCCAGCGTGTGTTTCTTCGTTTAATTAACCTCTATCTAAAAATTAAAGGAATAATATTATCAATTCAGTCCAAATAATAATTATTTTTCGGAAGTAAGTATTTCAGCCGATCTAATTCTTAAGTCAATGAGCTTATAATCATTGACTTCCAAATTTCAACCTTATTTTTGTAACTATGGTTAGAAAGAAACTTCAGAAATAAATCGACATGTTCGGTTCCTATAAAAATCTATGCTTGACTTACCGTCTTCCCTAATAGCGATAACATTCACAAAAGTTAGTCTTTTATTTTATTTTAATTCCATCAGGAACCTAATATTTCTTTCTCGCTGGTTTACTGATAGTAGGAAACCATCTAGTCCTTCCTTGTAATTCTACCATATGACAAAATAGTCATCGATATACCTAACAATTCAGGTATTAATATTGTCTCTTTCATTAAGGATTTAAA